CACGGCCATAGACATCGCTTTAACTTAATATGGTGGTCCTTTGCTAATTCAGGAAGGCACCGTTTTGTTCTCCCAACTAGTCTTGTCAAAAAACATACACTCGGTCTTCTTGGGTGAGTGCACAGACGTTCCCATCTTCAAAAAATGCGCATGCGCTTCTTGTGCACCAACTACATGTGTAAATCTTTGGTTCCCTTCCTTTGTAGTTTCTACTTTCCATCGCACTTTGCAGTCTATGTCCAACGCGCCCATTGCTACAGTGGGGAATACCACGCTGGGTTCCAACCTGGTGGGAGCTGCGTCGATCAAGTTTTCACGTTCCACTATGTGTATCAAAAGCAAACGATTGTTGGGTTCTTGGATATCCATGCTACCTTCGAAACTGTCGACAGGAATATATTGAGGCACTGCATGTTGGGGAATGGCGTTTGCAAGCAGTTCGTTTCCGTATTGCATAAGACGTGAATTCTGATCTCAGGTAGATGACTTTTGCAAGCTTTCACATTCCTTTGTTGTCATCAGTGTGTTCAAAAAGGATGCCTTATTGCCTCATTTCACTTCAATTGTTTCACTGAGTAAGTTCTGGAAATGCTTTGGATGATTTATCAAACGTCGGTATTGAGCTTCTTCCAGGTAGCATCTAGTTGATTTTGACGGAGCTGAAGATGACTTATTGCTGAAAATTCACAGGCCAACCAAGCTTGGCGATAGAAGCGTTTAAATATAGCACACAGCTTTGGCGACCTAAGGGCAAACCTATTTTCAAGGCTGGCATTTGCTGGCGCCTGCACTCACTATTGGTACTGGAGGCTTTGAAGGGTTGGTCTACCTGGAAAGCTTTATCATTGCTGGTGGTGCTGGTGGAAATGAGATTTCCATGACTATTCCAAGAGCTCTTCTCTTTTTCTCTAGACCGTAACAATTATGGCGCCGTCATGACACCCGTCTCTCCATCAAAGGGTGAGCTCATCTTGCGACCGTGGGCGCTGTACAGTACTATGGTTACGAGACGGCCTGTTCATATCTTTTATATGTACAAACGGTACGACTTTCAATACGACTGCTTAAGTCCCATTACCCGAATGTATTGTCTACACTATTTAAGAAACGTGGACGTTTGACAGTGTGTCTTGGCAGAGACAGCCGCTTACTGGAATAGCACATTTCAATATGTCAACAGCGGTGGCTTGGACACATATTGAGCATGCCATTTCAGCGTTTTCTGCGTCGTATATTGTTTGCGTTTGCTGGACATAACTGGAGGAGTCGGTGCGGTACTTAGTCTATAAGTCGTAGGTGTAGCAAAAAATGCTAACGAAACACTTGGCGTCCGTCGGTTGTTCCCTGCTTTCTGGTTGGTTCACTTATTGTGAGATATCACTGGTATAAAATCTGGAAAATCGTATATCAGAGTCGATGTAACGGACGTGTATCACTCACTCTATATTGGAATGATTCCTCTTCCCTCCCCTAATAAAAGAAACTGACAGAAAACCCAAAAAACATATTTCACAAACTGTCATTATTAAAAGTCAATAAGGTGCTAGCGAGAACGTTATAGAACAGCTTGTAATGTTTGTCGTCTTATTAATGTGTGAAATTCTAAACTGAAGTGTGAGGAGTGTCTATTACCACCCAGAGGCTAAATACTCATTTAAATGGATGTCAACTCAATCTAAGTCGATTTCCGATGTTTGCCAACGAAATGTTCCACGTGCTCACCCGTTGCTGCCGGTAGTGTGGACTCAGTAGGTTATCCTGAATTGACCGAGGAATTTCTGGGAACACACTTCAAGATTTTTGATCTTGGATTCAGCGATATCACTCACGTTAACATTTTGTGAGCCTGACTATTGTGTATTACATGTGTTTAAAGAACATCCACCTACATGGAGGACAGCGTTGCAGTTACAAGCCAAGTACATTCAGCCGTCAGCTACCAAAACATGCCAGAGTACACTTAAAGCTTCACCTCTAATCATATCTGTGTCTCGACTGATAAATGCTGGTTGGTAAATTGAAATTTCATATGTAGAGCTAACAAGTGCTTGTGTTTCAACCTTCCAAAAATGCATAGTTGTGACCTTGAACAAACCTACGTGCTAACCGCTCAGCTGTGCACACATTGCTTGGTCGTTATTTCTCAGCTGTATTTTGTCACAGGAACGTGTGTTAAGATTCAATCGACCCAGCTCCATTAGCACTATCTAGTGCAGTCCATCTTTCGGATCTAGGTTGTTCGGAGCGCTTTCATGTTCACATTGCGGTTTACTCATTATTCCCACAAAAGTAATGGAGGAGTTTCCCGAATCACGAAACACACAGCAATACTTGTGGCCTCAAACTTAAGCCAACTTTACGTTTTATCCGACAAGTCAGAAACGACAGCTGTAAACCGTGCGTCAACATAGCTATCGTACACATTGTATCCGTAGCGGGTAGTCGCTTTGTTTGCCGCGCGAACGATCTAGTCGCTTAAACCAGACCCGCCATGGCCAGAAGCACAGAATGTGACAAGATTCGGACAATTCAGCGCAAACGCGAAACACAAGAAACCAAAACCGCTTAAGCTTTGATCGGAATTGCATCGAGCGGCGCAATGGATTGTGGCTGTCAATAAATGCCCATATTACCGCGTCCAGATCGACCGTAGTTTGTGCTCTTCCTTCATGATATAGAAATGTGCGAACTGAAATCCAGTCTATCAATGGACTTCGCAGCGTTCATCGTAAATGCTTTAAGCTCAGAGTGAAAATTTTGAAACTCCGCAATAGTAAAGCAGCGTCAATCTTGTTCTGTTCAGTAGGTGTGGTCATCCCAGTGGAAGATCGTAAATGAACCATCATAGAAGTACGAAGGACTTCTGTAATGATTGAGCAAATGAGGAGCACGAAACGCAATTCGTTTGAAGACAGCGAGATAGCGAGGAAATCACAGTCATTCATATCAGGTTCCGCATTAAAATTGAGGAACAAAATGGGCAGCTCGTTAGAACTGTACCATCTGTAGCTTTAAACGTC